AATTTTAAATTAATAAAAACATAAAACACGGAGAACGAACATAAAACACAGCACAACTACAATGTGAAACAGCTGCTTTGACCTTGAAGAAAAAAAAAGAGTCGATGTCAGTATACCATATTGTTGATTGTGCACACATCTGCAAATATCTGCTGCTAGCTTTAACTTTTTTATACCTTAAGATATAAACAAATACACTGGATAAAAAATGAATCGGGGGATCTTGGGGGATCACAGTTAAAACTTTAAGTAAACACAAAAATACGAATACAAATGATGCTACAAATATAATAAAGTAAAAAACTAATTTTATAATAACGAAAACACAAGCTAGCTTTTATTAATATTGAAACTTAAAAACCTTTAACTTTAAAATCTATTTTATATAATTTATATTGAGCAGGGTAATTAGGTGCCTGAACACTTGGAAGTTCGCTCTTGTTGAGAAATATTCTCGATGCGTGCAGCTGCGCTGTGCAAATGACCACGTTATCACAACTTGAAACTTATTTTTAGAAAGAACCGTTAAATATCCAAAAAAAAAAAAAAGAAATATATGTACATAGTTTAAATACGTTTGCTTGCCATTAGATGACTCTGCCGTTTTAGTTCCTTTAATACACTCAGCCTTGTACTAATTAACCGAAAAGCAACAAAAATAATAAGCGGTAAAAAATAAAACCAACATTGGGCGAAAAAGTTTCGGTAACTCTTCAAGAACTACAGGTGATGAAACTAAAAAAACAACAGATTTATTCAAGTAACATGCTAAGATATAGAAATTAAAAATTAAAAACAAAAATGCAGTCCATTAAGATCGTCTTAGATTCTAAGGAGATCACTTATTAAAGCTATGATAGTTCTTATAAACAAACATAAGCTGGTCAACAATACCGGACTTCAACTGGGCATCGCGATCTGAAATGATTTGGTCTATCTTGCTAAAGTAGTCCAATCAAAATATTTGGAATATTAGGCATATTTAATATTCCAGACTATTTACAAAGTGATTTTAATTATTCATGATCTTTTTGCGAGGATATCCAGAATTTGATCACTGGTAACATTCACATCTCTGTAGAAGCGTCCATTCAGCCGTTCCTCTCCAGTTTTTCAGGAATGTTTGAACAGAACCTGAAATATAAAAAACCAATTTTTTAACTGCAAAAAACTGATGACTACCTTTTCCAAAGCTTGGTGTCTAATTGCAAGTCCTCCGTAGATCCAGTGAAGTCGTTTGGCCATTTTTCTTCAAAAACATTGGAGGTTATTTTTATTAATCGAGCTCTGCGCATTTGACTGGAATGATATTCTGACAATAGTGCTCGATGTTTGAGAAATCTCAAGTCCAGATCTTCCAGATATTTATACAACCATGAATTGCGATGTTTGGATGGACGCAAGCAAGCTATTCGACTGTACTCCATCTGTTTTTAATCTCAGCTTATTTAATTCTTCGAGCGTGAAGCAGATTAATTCCAGTGCTTCATAAAACAATCCCAGAGAAGAATGATGTTCGACCCAACGGGATTCACAAAATTTTAGCAGACGTGTCTGCTCGGCACTAGGATTTTCTGCCAAATTTGCAATTTGGCTCGCCCAACGAAGGTAGTTAACGACTTGCTTGACTGATCCAGTGCAGTTCCAAGTTGGCGTAATGTCGCACGCATGGGTAATGGCCAGATCTCGGTTGTGATTGACCCAATAAAGATGAAGAGCATCTGGACGTGTCTTCTTTACAATAGCTGCACAGCCTTTCAACTCTCCACTCATTGCTCGAACTCCATCATAACCTTTGGTCCAAAACATTAAGTCCGGCGCCAGTCATGTCCTCTACAGGAACAAAGCACAAGAAGTCTTCTCTGATCTTGTGTCTCCCTTTGATTTCTTGAATGAACCTAGCTCCAATCGTGAATTGATCAATTCCACTTACATCCGATGTTTCATCTGCGATCACAGTAAAACATTTCGTCTTATTGATGCCTCTCACCAACTCTCTTGTGATGATTTCCGCTCCAACATCAATAAGTTGCATTAACACTAGCCTATGAAATGTTCATGCAGGGCTACATCTCCACTATCCACCGAAAAACGCAGAAGTCCTCTGAAATTTCCGTCCTTTTCTTCTTCAGCGCCAATGGGCCATCATATCGATGTCCTCGTAGCGACAGTCCTTGTCTGCAGCAGAACGAAACCGCGCAAAATGATGGGAGCGAGCTTCCGTCTGCTTTCCAATTAAAGCCATTTTCGGCTCTGGTCGATTTCGTCAATGACATAATTTTTCTTATTTTCAGTTAACTTAAAATGTTGTGCATCTACAAAGGCGTCCAAGTGATATTTTTTCGTTTGGTGTTCTTTAAATCTGTCTTAAGCTCTAATTCAATTTTTAAAACAAGTTTGCACAAATAAACTACAACGTTTTCCATTTCCAACTTCCTTTTGCGCTAATAAAATGCAAACTCGACAATAAGCACCGTCTTCAGAGCCTGAGTTAGTGAGCCATTTTGTAACCACGAATGTTGGAATTTTAAATTCAATTTCAATTTTCGTTGCTGGAAACACAAAATCAGGATCCGGTGTCCATACATTAACTAGGAGATCGTACATCTCGGCAGTGGCGTAACTACGTCAGAAAAACTTGTGTTCGGTGACGGGAGGACTTTCGACTTTTTGCATTTGCAAATGCTGTAACCAAGTTTTGTACATCCATCTTTTTCGCTATATCATTTTCGATTTAAATTAGAGCCAGAGAGCGCAATCGTTTTTGTCCCATCGTATTGCGAAGATAATTTTTTATTTTCTTCAATTTCGAAAATGATCTTTCTGCTTTTGCGATGGTGACTGGGATGGTGAGAAACAGACAACATGCTGTAACAATTTCAGAAAAACTACTGCTCGAGGAGTAAATTTTTAATAGAATGAAATCAAGAATTTGCGCAGAAGTGTTCATTGTTTTCAAATCATTGTTGAAGCACTCCTTAAAAGACTGTAGTTGGCTTGAAATTGTGTCTGAAATATCATCTTTATATTTCAGGCAAAATTTTTGGCCGGCAGAGAAAATCTCATCGTCAGACGAATCTGGGAAAAAAACGGGAGAAATAATTCGAAAATCGTGGGCAATTTTTCTCAAACCAGTACTGCGTTCTTTCAACTGCGTAGAAATAATATCAATAGTTCGACAAAATACATTGGCTCTGAAAAAGTCGTCATCGCTTTCAATGTAATGATGTTGACTCAATTCATCGAAATGTCTTTTGGGGCGACGTCTCCTTTTCGGGGAAAAAGATGTTGGACATTTCCATTTTACTGCCAAATCAACAGCAGTGCTTTTCAAACTCTCGTAGTCTTCGCGGAGACTGTTCCCTTTTATTGCAAGCATCATTCAACATCTTGACTGCATTTTGAATGTCCTGCTGTTGATTTTGCAGTTCCTTGGAAACGGGATTGATGATTTTTAAAATTTTACTTTCAAGAACAATCAAGAAAATAGTCTCTTATTAATTTTCCGTAATCCACGACACGCCTTTAAGGGCCACAAAGGTGACGGTCACAAAAATTTGTGCAGCTTTCTAAATTTCCCAGGCTCGGGGGCCTGTGTTCCTGGAACACATGGAACACCGGTAGTTACGCCACTGCATCTCGGTATTGTCAAGGTTTCTTCTACAGAACATCATGCACATCATCTTGAATTTCTGAGAATTCTGAAGTTTATCAAAATTGTACTGGGTGAAAATTCAAAACACTATGGACTCCGGTTGATGATCATTTTCTTGGTCATGCCGCGATTTTTTTGGCTGTGGTTACTGTTTCGGCCTGTTCGCGATCGCGCTTAACATTTGCATTTGTCGGTTTAAAAAAGGACGTAATTTTAACAGATGCCATTATCATTGACGATGAATAATACGCATGTAACGCATGAGAATACTATCGATTATTATCTATAGACTATAGTTATCGATTCACTAAATAACAAGCTTTTGGTAGAACTTCACTTTCTGTCCCTTTACAAAATAAAATTTAATGAACCATATTTGTAATGTCAAACTTGTGATGGGGACGATTTAGTTTATACGGTTGAAAGATTACCCCCCTGCGTTCGCCCCTGATCATAATACACAATTTCTATATTATATTAATCCAAAAATTTTAGAATTGACATGTATCTGGCTCGTTTGTGCTTGAATTCAAATTTCGTTGCAGATTTGTAAAATAGCTCGAAGAATTAGTTGGTTTGGGTGGTGTAGAGTCTACACTGTAGACGCTATCGACGTTGCTGTGGACTGTTCTTGCACCAATTTGTTTAAAACATTTTGAAGGTCGTATATTAAAGCTCGACATGCTTGAATGGCATTATTTGTCCTTTGAAAACCTTGTTTTTTAAACCTTGGCTCTATCATTGTGGCATCCTAGGAACGGTGCGCGTTTCGTAGTGCCCAAAACGATCGATAAAGCAATCACTTAAAGTGTCGAATGTCAAAATGGCTTATGCGCTTTTGAAGCTATTTTTGTATAACAAGACCTGTATTTGTATTTCGCAACCATCGGAATAACGGGGGACATATGCAATGCAATTGAGAGTGTCTCATTAGTCTGAAAATTTGGAAGGCACTGTTCCACCTTGTTAGTACATCCTGAACAAGTCTTAGGAGTCTGTCAGCAATTAGGCGTCCTAAAATTTTGCCATGGCAGTCGAAATACGGTTAATGAGCCTTGCACTTGGTAAGAATAGGTCGAATAATCTCCATTTTAAGAATTTCTTGAACCAGCAAACTTATTGTATGTGCAAAACATGGAAAATGTTTAATTTGCAGATGTTCGCATGCTTTCTTAATAGTAACCTCGTTAGCTGTAGCTATAGTTACAAATTTATATAGAAGACTCCACTCATTTAACTCCTGTGGAAGAGTATTAGCAATATTCAGAGCTGACTGATAATTGGGAGTCAAAAGACTTACCGTCGACAAGGCCGCTGCAACTTCTTCGAACTTTTTATTCACAAAATGGCAAGTTACAGTGACATAGACTTCATTTCCACGGGAAGTACATTCGTCCGTGGTGATTGCTATATACTGAACACCTTCGAGCTCACATTCAAGATCCTTTCTCAACTCATTGTATAGCTTACGTCTCTGAAATAGGTTCTGCTCGGTATTTTATATTTAGGGTCCATGTGCAGCATCTAATCACGGAATCGAATTCGGAATTGGGTGAATCCGTGTGAGATTAGGTTAGTTGTGTTTCCTGCTGCCACACACAGGATGATTCTCGCTTCCTTTTCGGAGACGAACCTTCAATGCTTTCCTTCGTTGTACCTTTAGTATAAAAAATGTACATATGGGAATTGGCCGCCACATGTGGGACATTTACAATCAACTACCTTGCGTGCAGTTGGCCATGTACTGCGCAGTTTTTAAAATACTAACGGTTCAAGAACTTATCCATCGTTGAAACTTTAAGCAGCGTCGCGCCTACACCACCAGTATCACTCCCTAAAATTTCAAGTAAATAATTAACATTATTAACAAAATAAGTAAAATGTGACAAAATACAAACAACAAAACAAAATAACAAACAACAAAAAAAGGTTAAGTTTCGCTTTAGCGGCTTTTGCTAAAAATGGACTAGGAATTTTTTTTTAAAGGGATACCTTGGGGCCTAAACATTAATAAAAAAGTGGCGGAAACCGTAAATTTTAATTATTTATTTAAAAAAAAAACACAAAAATAAACATGCAAATTCAAATACTTTTTTGACACTGAATTTATTCCCCATCCCTGAAAAAGGGCTACCTTCGGGCAAAAACATTCATAAATGAGTAACGTAAAGCGTGATTTGTATTTATTTACTAAAATAAAAAACAAAATAAACATAACAATTCAATGTATTAAATTAAAAAACAAAATAAACATAACAATTCAATGTATTAAATTAAAAAAAAAAAACAAAATAAACATAACAATTCAATGTATTAAATTAAAAAACAAAATAAACATAATTCAAAGTATTAAAAAAAAAACAAAATAAACATAATTCAAAGTATTAAAAAAAAAACAAAAGAAACATAATTCAAACCTTTTTGTAGCCATGAATTCAGTCCTCGTCCGTTAATAAAGGCTATCTTGGGAAGTATCGTAAAGCGTGATTTTTAATTATTTCTTTGTAAGAGTAGCAATTATCACTGCCGCGAGAACAACCGGTTTTAAAACATTGTCATGTTTTTAACGAGAAACATTTTACCGGGAAAAACAATTTGTGGAAAAGAGTTCTGCAAATGCGTGAAAAGGTAAAGAAGCAAAGCGACAAAATAATTTGACCATGTCGGACACGGAAAATTTAAGTCTTGAACGCTGTAACGGTTGTGAAATGACTTTGAGTGAGTTCATTGTTCTTAGTGAAGATTCAGAAAAGCTTCGAAAAATTTTAGAAAACCATATGTTTCTGCGGAAATACCAAAATGGCAAAAGCTACAACAAAGAAGCTATCCTTTCGATGAATAAAATGGAATTCCGATGTCAAAAATTTGTGACAAACAACAAGAAAAAAGTAAAATGTACTTTCAAGGAATTCGTAAACAAAAATACATTTTTTAGCGGATCGCATTTGAGTCATAAGCAAATCAGTCGATTTCTTGCGTATTTCGTTATGACTCCTCCCCCTCATACGGAGTTGCTAATGCATTAATCCATTATAATGGATGAAATCGGCATTGCAGAACATGCTGTCGTAGATTGGTCCAACCTCTTGAGAGAAGTGTTTTTTGATTTGGCACTGAACAGCCATCATGAAGGCAAACTTGGTGGTGAGGGAAAAGTGGTCGAGATTGACGAAGCCAAATTCGGAAAAAGAAAGTATAATCGATGTAGAATTATTGAAGGACAGTGGATTTTTGGTGGCTTCGAAAGGGGAAGTAAAAATATTTTTTTGGGTAAAGTTGCGCTTTAGCGGCTTCTGCTAAAAATGGCCTAGGAATTTTTTTTTGGTAAAAATGGGTTCCTTGGGGCCTAAACATTAATAAAAAAGTGGCGGAAACCGTAAATTTTAATTATTTATTTATAAAAATACCAAAAGAAGAACATGAAAATTCAAACACTTTTGTGGCACTTAATTTATTCTCCGTCCCTGAAAAAGGGCTACCTTGGTCCAAAAACATTCATAAAAGAGTATTGTAAAGCGTAATTTGTATTTATTTATTAAAATAAAAACAAAATAAAAACTTAACAATTCAAATTCAAAAAAAAAAATAAACTTAACAATTCAAATTCAAAAAAAAAAAAAAACTTAAGATTTCAAATAAAAAAAATAAAATTAACATAAGATTGCAAATAAAAAAAATAAAATTAACAAAAGAATTCAAATAAAAAAAATAAAATTAACAAAAGAATTCAAATAAAAAAAATAAAATTAACATAAGAATTCAAATTAAAAAAAAATTAAATTAACATAAGAATTCAAATTAAAAAAAAATTAAATTAACATAAGAATTCAAATTAAAATAAAAACAAAATAAACATAACAATTCAAACATTTTTTGGCCATGAATTCAAAACTCGTCCGTTGGGGATCACTGCCGCGAGAACAACCGTTTTTAAAACATTGTCATGCTTTTCACGAGAAACACTTTACCAGGAAAAAACTTTTGTGGACGAAAAGTTCTACAAATGCATAGGTAAAGAAACAAAGCAACAGAAGAATTTGACCATGTCGGACGCGGAAAATTTAAATCTACAACGCTGTAACGGTTGTGAAATGACTCTGAGTGATTTCATAATTCTTAGTGAAGATCCGGAAAAGCTTCGCAAATTTTTGGAAAACCATTTGTTGCTGCGGAAATCCCAAATTTGCAATAGCTGCAAAAAAGGAGCTAATTTGGCGATGGACAAAATGGAATTCCGCTGTCAAAAATTTGTGACAAAAAACAAAAAAAAAGTTAAATGTAATTTTAAGGAGTCCGTGAACAAAAATACTTTTTTTGCCGGATCACATTTAACTCATAAACAAATTAGTCGATTTGTAGCTTATTTCGTAATGACTCCTCCCCCACATACGGAGTTGCTGATGGACGAAATTGGCATTGCCGAACATGCAGTCGTGGACTGGTCAAATTTCTTAAGAGAAGTTTTTTTTGATTTGTCACTGAACAGCCATGAAGGCAAACTTGGTGGTGAAGGAAAAGTGGTGGAGATTGACGAAGCCAAATTCGGCAAAAGAAAGTATATTCGGGGAAGAGTCATCGAAGGACAGTGGATTTTTGGTGGTTTCGAAAGGGGAAGCAAAAACATCTTTTTAATCCCGGTGCCTGATAGAAAGGCGGAAACTTTAATAAAAATAATGAAAGAGAAAATTGCCCCAAAAACCCATATCGTTAGTGACTGTTGGGCAGCTTATAATGCTCTCAGTGCTTGCGATAATTTGGAGTACACGCACAGTACGGTCAACCACTCCAAAAATTTTGTTGATCCGAATACTGGCCAAAGTACCCAAAATATAGAACGCACATGGCGAGACGTACGAAGCGCTGTCCCCAAGTATGGAAGAGTGGACAAGCATTTCGAAGGCTACTTGGCGGAATATATTTTCAAAAGAGCATATCACCTTCGAAAAACCAGAATACACGGAATTTTTTGCGCCATTGCTGACCTGTACAATCCATATAATCCCAGGATTAATATTCCGAATTCCGAACAACTCGCGGAATTCGAGCTTCTGGACCTAGAAGAAAACGCGGACGAGGATTAATTCATGGCCAAAAAATGTTTGAATTGTTATGTTTATTTTGTTTTTTAATTTGAATTGTTATGTTCATTTTGTTTTTATTTTATTTTGAATTCTTATGTTAATTTTATTTTTTTTATTTGAAATCTTAAGTTTTTTTTTTTGAATTTGAATTGTTAAGTTTATTTTTTTTTTTGAATTTGAATTGTTAAGTTTTTATTTTGTTTTTATTTTAATAAATAAATACAAATTACGCTTTACAATACTCTTTTATGAATGTTTTTGGACCAAGGTAGCCCTTTTTCAGGGACGGAGAATAAATTAAGTGCCACAAAAGTGTTTGAATTTTCATGTTCTTTTTTTGGTATTTTTATAAATAAATAATTAAAATTTACGGTTTCCGCCACTTTTTTATTAATGTTTAGGCCCCAAGGAACCCATTTTTACCAAAAAAAAATTCCTAGGCCATTTTTAGCAGAAGCCGCTAAAGCGCAACTTTACCTTTTTTGATTCCGGTGCCTGATAGGAAGGCGGAAACGTTAATAAGTATAATAAAAGAGAAAATTCCCCAAAAAACACTTATCGTCAGTGACTGTTGGGCAGCTTACAACGCCCTCAGTGCTTGTGAAAATTTTGAATACACGCACAGTACGATCAACCACTCAAAAAATTTCGTTGATCCGAATACTGGCCAAAGCACTCAAAATATCGAACGTACATGGCGAGACGTACGAAGCGCTGTCCCCAAATATGGAAGAGTGGAAAAACATTTCGAAGGCTACTTGGCGGAGTATATTTTTAAAAGAGCATACCACTCTCAAAAACCCGAATTCACGGAATTTTTGCGCCATTGCTGAGCTATATAACCCATACAATCCCAGGACCAATACTCCGAATTCCGAACAACTCGCGGAATTCGAGCTTCTGGACCAGGAAGAAAATGCGGACGAGGACTGAATTCATGGCTACAAAAATGTTGAAATTATGTTTATTTTGTTTTTTAATTTAATACATTGAATTTTTATGTTTATTTTGTTTTTTAATTTAATACATTGAATTGTTATGTTTATTTTGTGTTTTATTTTAATAAATAAATACAAATCACGCTTTACGTTACTCATTTATGAATGTTTTTGCCCCAAGGTAGCCCTTTTTCAGGGATGGGGAATAAATTCAGTGCCAAAAAAGTATTTGAATTTGCATGTTTATTTTTTTGTTTTTTTTTAATAAATAATTAAAATTTACGGTTTCCGCCACTTTTTTATTAATGTTTAGACTCCAAGGTATCCCTTTTTAAAAAAAAATTCCTAGTCCATTTTTAGCAAAAGCCGCTAAAGCGGAACTTTACCCAAAAAAATTCAAATACGTGATTTTCTTTTTATTGAACAGTTTTTAGGGCCAT